AGATCCTTATTAGCAACAGAAAAACAATATAACAGTGATTTTCTACAAATAAATTTCTTATACATTGTTTATTAAATGAAATAATAACGAAAACAAATTTTAAAATATTACGTTAACAGAATGTCATAGTTTTAACTATGAACGGTCCTGAATGATCAGGCAAAATTATTTTTATAAAAACCTTTTAGTATCATTTTATTTTTCCAGAAAAAAGTATGTCCATGGCTTAGACTACCATTGGATCTTTTTGACTTTCGAAAGGTGTGACCACAATAAAACTTCTTTTCAGATTCAGATTTAACGAAGAGTAAAACTGTTTTAAAAGCATTAATATAAAAAAAAGTAAGAAGAAATGGATATTATTGAATGTATTCAGGGGCGGCTTAAGACATTCTGGTACCCTGGGCAACTGACCAGTTTGGCACCCTATATGGCCCTTTAAATTTTGGAGATAAGTAGTACTCCATGAGAAAACTATTTAGTAATTTTGTCTGATTTTTTGACAATCATCTTCGCCATCACTGACGGTCACAAATTTAGAATTTTTTAATTTGACCGCACTGATGAAAGTGGTTTTAAAAAAGGATAATAACTGTACTCGAAATTTCTATGTTTTTCATAGACATAGTAAAATATCTCATTACACTGCATTGCTATTCAGTATAGTAAAAATTACTATGAGCGAAAGTAAGTTTGTACAACATCTATAGGTATACCCGCCTATTGATTTTCAAATTGAAGGATGTATTAATGTAATCATGACAAGAAATATATTTTTCAATTTATAATGGTTAAAAATGGATACCTGCAGACAAATACTTTGGAATCGACTGATTATTCGTTATTAACAGTGTTGTCTACAGAAAATCTGTAACCGACAAAGGTTGAATTCCCAGTTAGTGCAGATCTTTTTTACAGTAAAATATTTTTAAAACACTTTAGTAGGTATATGTATTCTGAAAGTAGAAATATATATATATATATACACTGGTATATCTTCTGTTATATATATATACAATTAGTGTAAAACATATATATGTATGTATATATTCCTTATCTTACTTTAATATACAAATTATTTCTGCACGAAGTAAAAATTACTATGTCAAACGATAATTTTTAATATAATCTGGTTTTACTGTGTGGCATGGTTATTTTTGTAATATGGCAAGTATGTCTCAGCTTCCCTATACAATATAGTAATTCTTATGATAGTTGTAATACTTTTTCTAATACATTTTTTCTCAGTGTGCAAACTGTAGAATACAATAAAATTATTTTAAAATTTTTAGGTTGTGTTATCAGCATATAACAGCGACTTTAGATATCGAACAGTATATTCCTCATCTAGGGCAGCAAGTAGAACTTGCGTGCCCGAAGGGTGCAATTGTTGTACGTTTGCTCAGTCAAAAATTTATAGCTATTAATATGCCTATAATTTATAGCTATAAGTATAGCTATAATTACCTATAAAACAGCAATAATAATGTAGAAAATTTAGCTATAAATATAGCTATAAACTACAGCTGTAAATTTTTCATAAATAATGAATAAAAATTAGTTTAAAATCAAATTTTTTCAACATATATCGATCAGTACAGTTGGTATTATCCGTATGATAACAGTAAAACTGGGGGCCTGAAGTATTTGCGCTTGAAAAAAAAAGAGAAAAAATAAGTTATAAAGCTTTCATACTTCCCTAATCTTTGATTTCAATGTGAAAAACTACCATAATGTGCTGAAAACCCAACCTACAAAATTTTAAAATAATTTTATCGTATTTTACGAAAAAACATTAACGAAAACGTATTTCTTCTTTTTTTCTGACCCGCATAATTTTCCCCCTAAAATTTGCAAGGTTGCGTTCAAAGTAAAGAATTTAATATTAGTAACCATGGCTAACGATGAAAATGTTGGTAAAAAATCTAAAAATGTAACATTATAGCGTCCTCATGGAGTACTACCAACTAAAGTTGAAAGAAAAAATTTTTTCTGTTTCAGTTCACGTGAAATGTCCCACGCACAAATTTGCTTATAAGTATGTCTGTGTACGTGTGTGTGTGTATGTAATTACGTAGAAATAAAATATTTCAAAAAGTAGTAATCTAATTAAATTTTGTTGTGAAAAAGTCTTTGTCTTAATCGACTGTTGCGCAACATATTTTTATTGGGAAAGATACTAATGGACGAATTGAGTTATACCTTGTGACACTTCAGTAGAATATTAATCATATTCATTTAATAATCGTTTATTATTGATACTCAAGTATCACTGATTCCAAGGAAAATATGGTAAATTAAATTTGAAAATGTAAGTGGTGAATTAGTTTATTATGATAGTTTAAGTTTTATATTAACATTTTTTATTTTTACCTAGAAAAAATGGTTTTTACAATGCAACAGTGTTCTGCGTTGTCGTTTACTTGGCGCCCCTGCCATTCTGGCGCCCTGGGCAAGTGCCCAGTTTGCCCCACCCTTAAGCCACCCCTGGATGTAATAGGATTGTATGTTTTCACAAAAAAAGCATTGAAAGTATAAGACAAGGTCTCACGTGATCTATTTATATGGAAATTTTCTTAAGAAACAATAAGTAGTTTAATAAGGGATTTTTTGTTGAATACTTTTCGTTTTAAGAAGGAATAACCGTAGCTAAATCATGAAAGAAACTTTGAAATAACCATTTTTTTAGTTTTATTTTTGTATCCTAGAACTTAATTTTTATATTTGCTTTTAAAGCAAGCATAAGTTAAAAAATAAACTTTTTCACAAATTTAACGTATTAATAGCCGAAATAGATCCTTATTAGCAACAGAAAAACAATATAACAGTGATTTTCTACAAATAAATTTCTTATACATTGTTTATTAAATGAAATAATAACGAAAACAAATTTTAAAATATTACGTTAACAGAATGTCATAGTTTTAACTATGAACGGTCCTGAATGATCAGGCAAAATTATTTTTATAAAAACCTTTTAGTATCATTTTATTTTTCCAGAAAAAAGTATGTCCATGGCTTAGACTACCATTGGATCTTTTTGACTTTCGAAAGGTGTGACCACAATAAAACTTCTTTTCAGATTCAGATTTAACGAAGAGTAAAACTGTTTTAAAAGCATTAATATAAAAAAAAGTAAGAAGAAATGGATATTATTGAATGTATTCAGGGGCGGCTTAAGACATTCTGGTACCCTGGGCAACTGACCAGTTTGGCACCCTATATGGCCCTTTAAATTTTGGAGATAAGTAGTACTCCATGAGAAAACTATTTAGTAATTTTGTCTGATTTTTTGACAATCATCTTCGCCATCACTGACGGTCACAAATTTAGAATTTTTTAATTTGACCGCACTGATGAAAGTGGTTTTAAAAAAGGATAATAACTGTACTCGAAATTTCTATGTTTTTCATAGACATAGTAAAATATCTCATTACACTGCATTGCTATTCAGTATAGTAAAAATTACTATGAGCGAAAGTAAGTTTGTACAACATCTATAGGTATACCCGCCTATTGATTTTCAAATTGAAGGATGTATTAATGTAATCATGACAAGAAATATATTTTTCAATTTATAATGGTTAAAAATGGATACCTGCAGACAAATACTTTGGAATCGACTGATTATTCGTTATTAACAGTGTTGTCTACAGAAAATCTGTAACCGACAAAGGTTGAATTCCCAGTTAGTGCAGATCTTTTTTACAGTAAAATATTTTTAAAACACTTTAGTAGGTAT